CATATCCTAAGAAATCAGAAACACCAATCAGAAAGAATGTTTGCACCCCTATGTTCATAGCAGCACGATTTACAATAGCTAAGATCTGGAAACATCTACTGATGGGCACTTGGGCTGAGTGGATAAAAAGCTGTGGTATATCTACACCATGGAATATTATGCAGCAGCGATAAAGAAAGATCTCTTACCTTTTGAGACAGCATGGAGGGACCTGGAGAGTATCATGCTTAGCAAAATAAGCCAGTCAGAGAAAGACAAGGATCACATGATCTCACTCATAGGTGGAATCAAATGAACAAAACAAACTGATGAACAAAATAGATCCAGAGACACAGAAGCATGGAACAGACTGTGGAATCGCAGAGGGGAGGTGGGGGTGAGTGGGTGGTGTGAAAGAGATCGACCAAAGACCTCGTATGGATTACACTAAGATGGCGGCATAGGGTAGACACCCGAATGCAGCCTACCACAACAAATTTGAATTTAGAACTGAAAAACAGGGGAGGCATTGCCCTGACATGCCGGACGGCTAGCTGAGAGGAGGCTCTGCCATCTGGGAGGGAGAGAGGAAGCATACTGAACCTCAGGAACTGTGAAGGTACGGAGAACTGTGTGCGCGAAAAGGCGCTGGCTTACTCCTGGCGCGGGGAGAGGAAGGGCCGGACAGAGATTGCAGCTGGCTTACTCCCGGTGAGCAGAGAGGGCGGACAGCTAATGCGCAACTGGCTTTCTTGGAGAGGAAAACAGAATCAGCCTATTGCTCTGATAGACGGCCCCAGACAGGGAGAGGCCAGACTGTCAGGCAGTGGGCAGAGATCTCTCGGAGGTGTGTGAAGCCAGAGGCCATTACTGCGGGACTTGGGGAGGAGCCCAAGGGAAAACAGTTTGTCTGCACCAACCTGAGACTCCGCCCCATCTCTGGCTGAGTACAGAAACTGTCCCAGAGGCTGGCTTTCTGTAAGGAGGGACTGGCAGGAACCCAAAGCTTGTCTGTGCCTTTACCAAAGGGGTGTGCACGCCTGCAACTAATCTTCCAAAACTCTCCGAGAACAGGTCTTTTCTAAGGCGAGACTGACAGGGAACCAAAGATTGTCTGTGCCACCCCGAGACCCCGCCCAATCCAACCAGAGCACAGAAGCCCTCCTAGCTGAGACTTTGCTGATCCTCACAGCCAATTGGCTTGGAGATGAATGCTTCCCAGTGATACCAACAATAAGCAAGGCTTAACAACAGGACTGCACATACAGCCCACAAAGGGCTACACTAAGACTGTCCACTGCAGGTAACTGGGAAGGCTGTGCTACTGGGCTCTACCAGAACACCTAGAACACAAAATTATTCCATCAAATCAGGGAAACAACTAAAATGCAGACAAGAGGAAGGAGACAAAGGAAGGAGATGGAGGAAAAGAAAAGATTGGACATTGAGTTCCAAACTACAGTTATAAGGTTATTCAACAATATCCTAAAAAAGGCCGATAAAATAAATGAGACCTATGAGGATATGAAAAGGGAGCAACTAGAAATAATAAGGGATCAACAAGAAATGAAGAAAACATTGTCTGAAATAAAAAATATTATACAAAGTCCTAAAAACAGACTGGAGATCACAAGAATCAAGACAAAGATTTAGAACACAAAGAGCCAGAGGACACTCCTCTGAAGAAGGGAGAAGATAAGAGAATCCAGAAAGTTGAAGATAGTGTAAGAAACCTCTGGGACAATTTCAAGCGAACCAACATCAGAATTATGGGGATTCCAGAAGAAGAGAGAGAGCAAGATACCGAAAGAATACTGGAAGAAATAGTGACAGAAACTTCCCCCACCTGGGGAAAGAAATAGACGTACAAGTCCAGGAAGCCAACAGAACTCCAAACAAAAGGAATCCAAGGAGGACCACACCAAGCCACATCATAATTAAAATTCCAAGAGCAAAAGACAAAGAGAGAATATTAAAAGCAGCAAGAGAAAAGCAGGTAGTTACCTATAAAGGAACACCCATACAATTGTCAGCTGATTTCTCAACAGAAACCATGCAGGCCAGACGGGAATGGCAAGAAATATTCAAGGTGATGAATAGCAAGAACCTACAGCCAAAAATAATCTACCCAGCAAAGCTATCACTCAGAATCGAAGGACAGTTAAAGAACTTCACAAATAAAAAAAAAAAACTAAAAGAGTGCATCACTGCCAAACCAGAATTATATGAATTGCTGAAGGAGGTTATTTAGGAAGAGGAAGAAGATAAAGATAAAAATTGTGATCAACAAATACGTAACTATCAACAAGTGAATCTAAAAACCAAGAGAAATAAAAAAATCTGATGAACAATATTAACTGGTGAATATAATAGAATCAGAGGTATGGAAGGGGAGTGGACTGACAATTCTCGGGGAAAAGAGGAGTGGGGGTGCGGGAAGAGACTGAACAAAAACTGTGCACCTATGGATGAGGACAATGGGGGGTGGGGAAAGGGCAGAGGGTGGGGTGGGAACCTGGTGGAGGGGAGCAATTGAGGGGGGAAGAGGATCACATTTGTAATAATCTGAATAAAGATTTATTTAAAAAAAACATGCATAAGGACAGACATAGACAATAGGGTGGTGAAGGCCTGGGGTGGTGGTGGGCTGGGCTAAAAGGGATCAATGAGTCGGGTGGAGGGGACATATGTAGTACAACAATAAAGATTTTTTTAAAAAAAGAGCCAAGGCTTCTGAACCCCTGAGCAGTGCCATGGCTGGAGAGCTGCGTGCTGGTAAACCCATCTGGAGACTCCACACACTCACACAATGGCTGCTTCTGCATTTGCGCCCCTTCAATCCCCACAGGATACAGTGAGCGGGGGAAGCCACCTCCAACTCAGCATTTGGGTGTCCAGCGAGTGCCCAGGTGTGACAGGCGAATGCCCTGATTTCCTGCCTGCAGCAAGGCAGCCATGGAAAGCTGACTTGCCTTACCAGTGACAGAATGGTGGCTTATCTTATGAAAACGCAGGCACTCTAAGTTAGACAGTATCCTTAGATCTGGCCTTTGGTAAGGGATTGAGGAGAGAAACAAGCAACAGGTCTTCACCCTGCACACACGCTTTCAGTGGCACAAGACCAGAGAGGGGGCTCCGTTGACTAAGGCTTTCAAAGCCGTGCCCGCCAACCTCCGAAATGATGGAGTTGGCCTCGTTTAGGGATGAGGGAAGGGAGAGCCCCAGCTGGAGAGCAGGTCAGTACTTTCATCTCCAGGGAAGATGCGATGGAGAAGAACGCTGACCCAGCTCTGACCAGCCTGTGTCCTAATAACCTGTCCCATCCTTTGCCTCTCCCGAGAGACACAAAAGGCCACACCGAAAACCCCTTGGCTGTGAAATCTGGGTGCACAGCAAAACAACCATAAACACAATACCCAGCGTCGGGGACATTGAACTGGTCACACTTCGGAGGGGTCATTACGTGCCCCCGGAAGCAGTGCAGGCGCAGGGGGTATTACCTCGTCAGCCCGTATCCCGGGTGAGACCAGCTTAAGAGGGGGTTCTTCTGCTCGGTCCTACGTGGGCTACGGGTGATGCGGGTCGGGGCGGGGGCGGATGGAGGACAGGAGAGACGACGGAGAGGAGGGGAGAAAAAGAAGAGATACAGAAACGTTATCCAGCAGCCTCAGAAGTCCAGCTTTCCCTGTTTCCTCTGCTCCCATCTTCCCACCACTGTTTCTCCCGGTTCGCTTCTGGTCCCACCTGAGCAGCCCTTAAGAGGAGGGGCCGGCTGGGGACAGGGAAGGGGTGGGTGGACAGGGAGCCCAAACGCCAACGTTCTTTAGTTTCTGAGACGGTGTCAGTATGGATGGCAGCAGTGAAGTCCATGTGCCTCTGATGGAAGTTTCCCTCCCCAGAGGATTCACTATCGAGGGTGCTGACACATGGGTGCCTGCTTGCCCCAAAGCAGAGGTGGGAAGGACAGACCATCCTGCCCTACCCAGCATATTTCTGACAAACCCGCCTGAGGTCTGTGCTTGGAGTGGAAAACGGGCACGGGCTGACATGCCGGGTGACCAAGGAGCATGGCCACCAGGCAGCTGGGCCCCTGGTCTGGAGCATGAGGAGGCAGGAGGGCTGGTGGGGCTGGAGGGGGACAGGATCACTGGGCCGAGGCCTGTTAGGGAGTTGGCGTGTCGAGCGGCATTGCCTGTGAGCTACGTGGACACCTCCCTGCATGCCTTACTCCTGGCTCCCTGTCCCCAACCCCAGCACCTGCTCTGCAACCACCAGCGCCCTCAGAGCCTTGTGAGTCACATCCCTGCTGCTTTTCACCAGCAACCTCATCGGGAACTGCTAACAAGGAAACTCTCCCGCTGCCGCTCTAGAATGCTCTTCAAATCTGTCATTCTTGCCGAAACCGGTTTGGCTCAGTGGATAGAGCGTCGGCCTGAAGGGTCCCAGGTTCGGTTCCGGTCAAGGGCATGTAACTTGGTTGCAAGCACATCCCCAGTGCGGGGGTGGGGAGGGGGTGTGGGAGGCAGCTGATCGGTGTTTCTCTCTCAACGATGTTTCTGGCTCTCTCTCCCTCTCCCTTCCTCTTTGTAAAAAAATCAATGAACAAATATATATATAAAATCCATCACTCTTTCTGTGCTCTTGACATTCTACTTCATAAAGGTCTCTAACCAGTTTCCATGAAGCCTCTCCAGGAAATCCATGTGTCAGCACCACGGGGAACCTCATGCCCCCCCCCCCCCCCCCCTTCCCAGGCCCCTGCTTCATGCCCTCCCACACCGACAAGCATCATTCAACAAGCACACGAGCACCGGAGTGTGCTCTGGGACATTGCGTGGTGACAGTGAGCTGATGTCAAAACGAAAGGACATATCTGGAACCCATGGCCCGAGGCGGTGGCCAGCGCCCTTAGGAAAAGCAGGTGCTGTGCGATGAGGTGAGAAACGGAAATTAGTCGGAATGGCTGGGCCATGCAGTTATTGGGGAAGAAGCTGCCGGGGAGAATAAAAAAGGGCGGATACCTGTGCAGGTCATAGCTTCCTCCATCTTTATTCCCTGATGGGGGGAGATACAAGAGTAATGTAGGTTAGTGTGAGGCCTCATAACACCGTTCCCTACACAGATTTCCCAGCACACCTACGTCCTGGAGAGAAACAGAATGTGTTAAACGCAGACGGTGCCGAGGTCCAACAGAGTTTCTCTACTGGGTTCCAAACGAGGATCAAAAGCTATAAAAGAGGTTTAAGGTAAATCACATAGGGGCTCTCACAGGGAGCATGGGTGGGGTGGAGAGAGGAAGAGAGGCCTTGTAAAAACAGTAAGAAAGTGCTTCCAGAAGTCTGTGCGGGTCTCGGTGAACGTTACAGTGGGGTTATTTTTAGACAAAACACTTGCCTAAAGGGCCAATAATCCCCCCACCAGGGACCGTCTAGAAAGCGGAGAGGACGATGTGAGGTCTGAGGGCATAACTGGGCCAGCCGGGCCCGTCACTCCGCCACGGCCCGCGTGGTCAGGTTTCACTAAGGGAGCTGCTCCGTCATCACCAATCAGCGTGCGGTGCTCTTTGGGGGAGACATTTCCGGGAGTCGTGTTTCCAGTGCCTCTCAGAATCGCTTTAGTTCCCAAGCCTTTGTGGGCTTTTTTTTTTGTTAAGATTTGAAGAAAAGGTTCACAGATAAGCAGGGGATCTGGAAAGATTGGAGCGGACTGGGGTCAGGGACCAAAAGACCTGGTTTGCAAGTTGGGACTGGACTCTCAGGGCCGTCAGTCCTTTCCCGGAGGCGCTGGCGGAGGGTGTGGATGGACAGCGGGCACAGGGCCCCTCTTGTGGGATCTGTAATTTCTTCTGGGGCTCTCCCGGCTCGAGAGCCTTCAGGACCAACGATGGTGGGGATGGCAGGTGGGGAGATTGGCCCTTTTAGGATTCCCCCCCTATCCTTTGCCTTTCAAGGCAATGACTCGGAGCCGCTTGGGCCCCACGGAGACACGGGCTGTGAAGGACACAGCAAACTCAGCCTCACAACAGAGGTTCCTGCACACGGCTCCCTGCAGCCCGTGTCCAGCTCTTACCCACCCTTTTGGGGCTGGTAATGCTGTGCCGTCACCAGGGCCAGCTTCCGGTCCCCTCCTCCATCCTTCTGCGGACAGCTGGTATTTACATTTCTAGGAGGATCCTGAGAAAATAAGTATTCTCCTTCATGGCGGGACGGACAGTGCATCCCCACGGGCCAAACGAGAAATAAATTTAGCTCTGTAGACGGGGAGGGAACATCTGATCGATCCCACACAGGCCCCTCTTATCCTTTTAGATCCCTAGACAATAAATGGCTCCAACAGCTCTCCCTTCAGGTGGAAAATCCCAGCAAGAGAAATCAACGCACCACGACGTGGGCGTGGGTCCAACTGGGGGACCTCCAAATTGTGATAAGCAAAAACAGGGCACGGTGTGCTTCCGACCAAACTCACTCACTCACTCTCTCTCTCTCTCTCTCTCTCTCTCTCTCTCTCAATCTCAAAAAAAAAAAAAAGGATCACCTAGTTTACCTAGCATATGTCTTATGTCTTATGACTGTTGACAGCAAAAACAAATCACTCCCCCATGCTTTCATCCCATCCTCCAGAGGATGTTTCTCTCCAGAACCGAGGTTTACCAGCAGGCGTCCCTTGCGAGGGACTGGGACACAAGGCTCACCCAACCTCCTGGTGCGTTCGTTCAGTTTCCCACCCAGGCACCCAGCGCTACGTTTAGAGAAGAAACTGTGTTTGGAACAGTCTGAGTGGATTTCCCTGCAAGTGTATGTGTCTGTGCATCTAAACAAAGGCAGGAGACTTGGAAACACAAAGGACTTTCCCGGTGACAGAAAAAAACAAACGGTGCTTCCTTACCCGTGTCCAGGCCCTTCGGTCTCGGGTTGCACTGCTTGTAGCCCTGGCAGCTCCGGAGCTCCATGAGCTGGACGTGCAGCTGGTTCAAAACGCCCCGCTCCACCGTGTGCACCGCGTTGGTGAGCTGCGGGCGGAGAGGCCAGGGCCACCCAGTTAGGCTCCTGTTCTGCTTGTTCCGTTTGCAATGCCCTCCACGGGAGGAAAACACACGGCCTTACCTGATAAGGATCTGTGTTCATGTCAAAATACTCCAGGAAGCCTGTGGCGAACTCGCAGAAGAGAAAATTATGCGTCTCGTTAACGGTGCGCAAACACCAGTAGGTGTTGTTGTTAGAACTCGTGCAAGCACAGAAGGAGCCCACTGTGGGGGGAAAAGAAAACGGAATGAAAAAAAACACACAAAACAACAACAACAAAAAAAAAACGGAGGCAGGCTAGCCATCCAAGGCTGCCTCGTCATGATGCTTTAAGATTCACATTTTCTTTCTTAAAAGTCCTCAGTGGGTAGATAGCAATAATAACTATAACCTTCTTCCTCTTTTTTTTGTACAGATTTGCTGTGAGATGTGAGTTGATTTGACCTTGGACCAGGTGTCTTGCTTCTTTGTTTACTTGTTTGTTTATTCAGCTAATATGTGTGGAGCATCTCCTTTGTGCTGGGGTCCAGCCTCTCACAGGCACGGCCTGGTCTCTTATCCTGAGAAACATACAGTCTAGTCGGGGACACAAATGTTAAGCCAAAAGCAGAAAATCTTAGGGGAAAAAAAACACACACACCACACCAACCGTGCAATCACAAACGGGCTAAGTTCTATGGAGAAAACCAATGGGCTGACAGCATAGAAAAGGGGCTTACGTCTCCGAGGCACAGAGGTGATCTCCGTGAGAAGTGAGGTTCCAGGGGAACTGGGAGGGTGAGTCAATCTGTGATAGGCACAGGGCTCTGGGTAAGTGCTGGGTCTACGCCTTTAGGGACCAGTGTGTGCAAGGGCCCTGAGGTGGGAGGGGCTGCAGGTGCTTGAGGAGAAAAGCCGAGAGGCTGATGTGAGCGTGGGAGGAGATGGGTCCGAGCAAAGCAGGAATGTGAACACAGGGCTTTGTGACAGGGTAAAGGTTTTGCTCTTTATCCCTAAGAAAAACCGAATATCACTAAGCGATGACTCTAAATCCTCTGGGCAGAGCAGACTGGCAATAGCCAGAGAAGAGTCTGGGAGACACAGACTCTTCTGGTTTTGCAGAGGCTGAGGTCAGACATGGTGGATGGTCACAGCTCAGGTGGGAGCAGATGGAGAGGTCTGAGTCACATCCTGTGGGAGTTACAAGCAAACTGCAGCTTCACGTTTCTCAATGCTTCATCTCTGAAGGGGCTTGCCAGCCCTGACAACAAATGTGTCACTTCCTCCGGACCCCGCTCCTGCTGGTCCCTCTGCCTGGGGTGTTGCCCTCTCACCCAGAACCCCCTTTCACACCAGCTGCTTCTTTGAATCCTTTAGGTCTCAGCTTAAAGGTCACCTCTTCAGAAAGGACCATCAGCCCCACCCTCTCGAAACGGCCCCTTTTAATAGCTTCGCTAACCCTCTCCTTATAGCATCATCACACTAGTAATTACTTCACTTTCTTTTTATGGTACCTCCCCCCACTCCCCGCCCCCACTAAAATGTGTCATGAGGGCAGAGGATGAGGTACGTCTTGTTCATTGCTGTGTCCGCAGGGCTCAGCCCAGGGCCTGGTGGAGAACAGACCCCAGCCATCTGATTGACCCTCAGAGATCCCCGCACCCCGCTTTAGGAAAGCACATTAAAAGTTAAATGCTACACCTTGAAGAGTTTGCTCAGCCTTCATGTGACTGCAGACTTCAATGCAAACATGGACACTATGATAAGACGCATCAAGGCATAAAAACAAAGCTGCACAGATAAGCCCTAGACCCGCTCCCCTCTCCTCTCCCTTCCCTCCTCCCCGAGAATAGCCTGGGGCTCCTGCACACCTCCAAATCCCAGTTTGAGAAACACTGACCCAGGGGGTGTTTCAACTGCTCCTCGGGGTGACAGGCCTTCAGCCAGATAACATGCCACAGAAGTTAGGGCCTTATTTCTCTGTGACCCAAGCCACTGTAGCAATATAAGCATTAACTGGAAATACACAAGTGTGGCCCTGGCTGGTTTGGCTCAGTGGATGGAGCGTTGGCCCATGGATGGAAGGGTCGTGGATTCGATTCCCAGTCAAGGGCACATATCTCAGCTGCAGTCCATCCCTGCCCCAGTCTGGGCAAGTGCGAGAGGCAATCAGTCGATATGTCTTTCACATTGATCTCTCTCTCTCTCTCCTCCAAGATCAATGGAAAAAATATTCTTGGGAGAGGTTTAAAATAAACAAGTGCGCAAGTGTATTCCATATCCTCAGCGATCCTGTAAAACCAGCTATTTTGCAGTGTCCCTAATATTCTGCAAGCACAGTGTCAGGTACTGAGGGGGACTGACTCAGTAGGATATGGACCCTGCCTTTGAGGAGCTTTACTTCCTGTGTTATACATTATACATAGAGTATGAACTTGAGCTAGAGCAGAAACGTTATGTTTGGGATAAATTTGGCTTCATTATTTAGTTGATTCGCTATAGAGCAGTCTTTCTGGGAGGCTGGGTACTGTGGGAAACATCAGGAGAAAAACCCAGAGAGAGCTCAGCATTTTCAAACAAGATATGAAAACAAATTTCTAAAAAAATAAAAAGCAATTTTTGGCAAAATGATTTTAGTTGCCAGGATGGGAAATAATAGGAGGTTCCTCTCTTGGATGATTCCAGAGTCTGGTTGCATCTGCCGAAAGCCTTGTGTATGTGCCTGCAGTAGAGTCACTGTGTCTGTGATGGCCGTAGAGGCAGTGAGAACGGGGACTCACAGTTCCAGAAGGGGGCCGTCTGCCAGTGGTTGTTGTCGTGAGTGAAGCAGGTCAGGCCAGGAAGGCTGCACTCCTCCCCCTTCCTCTGGCGCTTCTTCTCCTTCCTCTCCTTCCTCCTCCTCCGGGTCTCCTTGAAAAGCTGCAGCTTGCTGTCCACTTCCTGAGCGGCCTCCCTATTCCCATAGAAGGCATATTGTCTTTTATTTTTTTTAACATTCCATTAAAAGACTACTAGATTTAATAAATAATTTCAGCAATGTAGCAGAATTATAAAATTAACACCCAGTGTTCAATGAAATTAAAGAAGAAATTAAAAACCTCCTGGAGATTGCTGAAACCAGTTTGGCTCAGTGGATAGAGCATCCATCTGTGGACTGAAAGGTCCCAGGTTCGATTCCGGTCAAGGGCATGTACCTTGGTTGCAGGCACATCCCCGACAGGGGGTGTGCAGGAGACAGGGGGTGTGCAGGAAGCAGCTGGTGGATGTTTCTCTCTCATTAACATTTCTAGCTCTCTATCTCTCTTCCTTCATCTCTGTGGAAAATCAATAAAATATATTTAAAAACAAAAACCAAAAATATCCTGGAGACTAATGACAATAAAAATACAACAATGCAAATGCTATGGGACACAATGAAAGCAGCACTGAGAGGGAAGTTTATAGCTCTACAGGCCTATCTCAAAAAAAAAAACAAACAAACAAACAAAAAAAAACAAGAAAAAATGGTAATAAATCATCTAAGTCAATAATTCAAAGAATTAGAAAGAGAGCAACAAGAAAAGCCCACAGTGAGCAGAAGGAAGGATATAATAAAGATCAGAGCAAAAATAAATTACATAGAGGCAAAAACCAAAAAAACAAAACAAAACAATACAAAAGATCAACAAAACCAAGAGTTGGTTCTTCGAAGGGATAAATAAGATTTATGAACCTCTACCCAGGCTCACCAAGAAGCAAAGAGAGAGGACCCAAATAAACAAAATGAAAGAGGTGAAATAACAATAGACCCCACAAAAATACAAAGGATTATTAAAAAATACTATGACCAACTCTATTCTAACAAACTACAAACCTGGAGGAAATGGACACATTCCTAGAAAAATACAACCTTTCAAAACCCACTCAGGAAGATTCTAAAAATCTCAATAGGCTGATAACTATGGAAGAAATTGATGTAGTCATCAAAAAGCTTCCAGCAAACAAAAGCAAAGGGACAGACGACTTCACAGGGAAATTTTACCAAACATTCAAGAAAGAACTAAAACCTATCCTCCTCAGACTATTCCAGAAAATTCAAGAGGAAGGAACACTTCCAAGCTCCTTCTATGAAACCAGCATCACCCTAATACTAAAACCAGATAAAGATAACACAATGAAAGAGAATTACAGGCCAATATTGCTCATGAACACAAATGCCAAAATCCCCAACAAAATTCTAGCAAATTGAATTCAGCAGTACATCAGAAAGATCATACACCATGACCAAGTAGGATTTATCCTGGGGATGCAAGGATGGTACAATATTCACAAATCAACAAATGTGATACATCACATAAACAAATTGAGAGATAAAAACCACATAGTCATATCAATTGATGCAGAAAAAGCATTTGGCAAAATCCAACACCCTTTCTTGATAAGAACTCTCAGCAAGGTAGGAATAGAAGGATCATACTTGAACATAATAAAAGACATATATGACAAACCCATAGCCAACATCATACTCAATGAGCAAAAACTAAAACCATTTCCCCTAAGAACAAGAACAAGACAGGGATGACCACTCTTACCACTCCTGTTCAATATAGAGCTGGAAGTACTAGCCATTGCGATCAGGCAAGAAAAAGAAATAAAAGGCATCCAAATTGGAAAAGAAGAAGTAAAACTGTCCTTATTTGTAGATGACATGATACTGTACATAAAAAATCCCTAAAGATTCCATAAAAAATTACTAGACTTAATAAATGAATTCGGCAATGTAGCAGGATACAAAATTAACACCAAGAAATCTATGGCCTTTCTATTCACCAATAATGAACTTACAGAAAAAGAGACTAAAATAGCAATCCCATTTACCATTGCACCAAAAAATTTAAGATACCTAGGAATAAACTTAACTAATGAAGTAAAAAACCTATATGTGGAAAACTACATGACACTGAAAAAAAGAGATAGAGGAAGACAAACAGATGGAAGAACATACCGTGTTCATGGATTGGTAGAATCATCATCATCAAAATATCCATACTATTCAAAGCAATTTATAAATTCAGTGCACTTCCCATTAAAATACCAATGACATATTTCACAGACCTAGAATGAACTTTCCAAAAATTTATCTGGAATAAAGAAAGACCCCAAATAGCTGCAGCAATCCTGAAAAAGAAGAACAAAGTAGGTGGGATCTCAATACCAGATATCAAGCTGTATTACAAAGCCACTGTTCTTAAAACAGCCTGGTACTGGCACAAGAACAGACATATAGATCAATGGAATAGAATAGAGAATCCAGAAATTGACCCAAATCAAGCTCAATTAATATTTGACAAAGGAGGCACAAACATGCAATGGAACAAAGATAGTCTTTTCAACAAATGGTGTTGGGAAAATTGAACAGTTACATGCAAAAAAAAAAAAAAAAAAAAAAAAAATGAAGCTAAATCACCAAATTACACCATACACAAAATAAACTCAAAATGGATAAAGGACTTAAATAAAAGATAAGAAAACCATGAAAATACTAGAGGAATCCATAGGCAGCAAAATCTCAGACATATGCCGAAAGAAATTCTTCACTGATACTACTCCTAGGGCAATGGAAGCTAAAGAGAAAATAAACAAATGGGACTACATCAAAATAAAAAAGCTTTTGCACAGCAAAGAAAACCATCAATAAAACAACAAGAGAGCCCACTGCATGGGAGAAGATATTTGCAAATGATATCAACAATAAGGTTTAATCTCCAACATATACAGAGAACTCATACAACTTAACAAAAAGAAGATAAACAACCCAATCAAAAAATGGGCAACTGATTTAAATAGACACTTTTTGAAAGAAAACAGAAGAAGGCCAAGAGACATATGTATATCTGCTCAAAGTCATTATCATCAAAGAGGTACAAATCAAAACAACAATGCGGTACCATCTCACGCCTGTCAGAATGGCTATCATCAACAAATCAACAAATGACAAGTGCTGGCGAGGATGCGGAGAAAAAGGAACTCTTTTGCACTGCTGGTGGGAATGCAGCCACTGTGGAGAACAGTATGGAGTTTCCTAAAAAAAACTGAAAATGGAACTCCCATTTGACCCAGTGATCCCACTTACAGGAATATATCCCAATAAACTAAAAACATAAATCAGAAAAGATATATGCACCTCTATGTTCATAGCAGCACAATGCACCATAGCTAAGATTTGGAAACAGCCTAAGTACCCATCAGCAGATGAGTGGATTAAAAAACTGTGGTACATCTACACAACAGAATACTATGCTGTGGTAAAAAAGGAGTTCCTACCATTTACAATAACATGGATGGAGATGGAAAGCATTATGCTAAGCGAAGTAAGCCAGGCAGAGAAAGATAAATATCATATGATCTCACTCATTTGTGGAATATAATGAATGGCATAGATTGATGAGCAAGAACCGATCCAGAGACTGAAAAACGGCGATCCAAACATCATACCTCAGGGAAGGTAGGGGAGGGTCGGGGTGAGGTAGAGAGATAAACTAAGGGACTTGTATGCATGCACATGAGCCAAATCAATGGACACAGACAACAAGGGAGTGGGGCATACATGGGGAGGGGGGTTATGAGGGGATAAGAACACCTATGTAAAAAATAATCATTAAAAAAATAAAAAAATAAAAAATTAAATCTAATCCATACTAGTGGTCACAATAATCTTAAGAGAAATGGTTTCATGTGACAAAAAATTTTCAATGAAATTCTGTAGCCTGATAATTATTTTGGAAGGAAACAAAGACGTTTCTTTCAAAAGTCATTAAGGATTGTAATTGAAAGTCAATATATTTGGCCTCTTGAACTAAAGTAAGTAATTTGTGTTTTTGCCTCCCTGACAAAGTTTTTGCCTCCCTGACAAAGTTTATATAAAGTTACAAAAAGAAATTGACAGCCAGTTTGAAATTGAATTGCCATGACCTAGAGCAAAGAATATCCTTACATGATATTATTCTACAATGTCATTATAAATTTAGATATTTTACAACAGCATATTGTACAACCATCCCAAATAAACTTACAAACTAATTCTTTGAATGTTTGGTAGCAATTTAAAAAAGGATATGAAAGGATTTAATTTCTTTCAGAAGGAATTAAGGCACTGGGGAGGCAATGGAGCATTCTATATTGGCCCTTCTTGCTTTTTGTGTCAAGAGGGACCCTCTTCTCACAATCCAATTGTCCACAGCTATTGCCTGAGCTTTCTGTTCATGTTGAGCTTGAAGCCTCATGGTGGCTGGTACCATGGATCTGTCTCTCACCCAGTCATGTGAGCTGGGTCCTCCCTGGAGAAGAAACCTGAGTTCCCTAAGTTATGTGATCAGTGCTGGGGTCCCACCAGCAGGAGAGGGGATCTCAAGGCAGGTGCTGGGTGTGGAGGCCATGGGGGCATAGGCTACCAAGGAGACAGAACTGAACCTCACATTACCCTGCTTGGCTCTAAGGTGGAACAACCTAAGACAGGCACAGTCGCAGAGAGGGCCATCAGGAGAGAACTTGGGGGTCAACAGAGGCAGGACACAAACCCTCACCCTCCCCAACCTTGCAGGGGCCTGAACCCTCCTTCAGAGGGAGGTATCCTGCCCTCATGGCTGCTTTGCTTCCCACACTCAGCTCAGATTGGGACACAGGAGACAGAGTCTTGGCCCAGCTCAGATTGGGACCCAGGGAACAGAGACTTGGCGGACAGCAGCTGCCCTATATCTAAATCCAGCCTAGCACCAGGAATTCTCAAGGCCTATTCAAAAATGCAAATAATCCTTTCCACTAATATTTACAGGGTAAACTAAGATTGTTGGTAGAATATTAAATTTGACAGTAAAATAGTAATCAAATTTTCAGATTAATTTAAATAGGCTAATTGAAATAAATGAATATTCAAAAAATTTAATTGTACTGGACAAAAAGCTGTTCTTAAAGTAGTAACTAAAATTTCTATTGGCAGTTCATCTCATGGTAAATTTCCTGAATATGCAATGAATCTAAAGCAATAATTTTTGTGCAAAAAAAAATAAATAAAATTTAAAGTTATCAAGACTGTATTATAAAATTTACAAAAGCCTCCATTAATAAAAAAAAGGGGGGATAGTAGGGTAATATCATGTAAGAAAAATATCCTATAAGTAAATTACATCTAGAAAATTTTTACTTTACAAAATTAATTTTCATTTGTAATTCTAAAAGCAAGACACTCATGAAAAACACACATAGTGTCTAAACAAGACAAAAGATATCATTTGGGCAAAAATAAAAATGATCCCAAATAAATTATATAGAAAATATCCCTTTATTAACTTTTGGTCAAGAATATGTTTGCATATTTTCAGAAAACAACTTCAAGACCAGGTGGATTCCTGCAACAGAGAGGAATTGACAGGTCTGCTCCAACCACAGACAAGAGGAGAGACAGTGCAGAGATGGAAGACGTTGACAAAGCCTTGCCACGCTAGCCGTCAGCAGCTGTGCATCGCTGCAGGTTGCCTAGGACCAAACCGGAGAGGGTCGGACCTTCATTGCCACCACGTGCCCACCATCCAGATATCATGGCTGACATGTACACATAAGGATCTGTTTGACATTGAAACGGGGACTCAGAACTGTTGGACATTGAAATTGGGACTCAAACATTTTTTGTTATTATGTTTATATAGTCAGCAGAGGCAAGATTTTTTAAAGGAAAGAAATGGGGAAAAATACATACAGAGGCAAAGAAGCAATGAAGAGGCTGTCAAACTATAGCGGGAAAACAGGGGAAGTTGGTGGTCAGGGGGTGGGGGGTTGTAAGAGATCAACCAAAGGACTTGTACGCATGCATATAAGCATAACCAATGGATACAAGACACTGAGGGGTGGGGGGGAGGCAGGTGAGGACATGTACTGGGGGATAGGGGAGGTCAATGGGGAGAAAAAAAGGAAACATATGTACCACTATTTCTAATACTTCAAAGAATAAAAAAAAAATTAAGACCCAGAAATCTATGGCATTTTTATACACCAATAATGAACTCTCAGAAAGAGAAACTAAAAAAAAAAAAAAAAAAAAAAAAAAAATCCATTTACCAGTGCAACAAAAACATTACGATACTCAGGGATAAACTTTACCAAAAAGGTAAGAGACTTGTATTCAGAAAACTATAGGACATTATATATAGAGGAAGATATAAACAAGTGGTAGATTATACTGTGTTCATGGACTGATAGAATTAACATCATTAAAATGTCCATATTACCCAAAACAATCTATAGATTCAACACAGTCCCTATTAAAATACCAATAGCATATTTCACAGACCCAGGACAAACTCTCCAAAAATTTAGATAGAATCAAAAAAGACTCTGAATAGCTGCAGCAATCTTGAGAGTTGGAGGGATCACAATACTAGATGTCATTATATTATAAAGCCACTGTACTCAAAACAGCCTGGTGCTGGCACAAGAACAGACATATAGATAAGTGGAACAGAACAGAGAACCCAGAAATTGACACAAGCCATTATGCTCAATTAATATTTGACAAAAGAGGCAAGAGCATACAATGGAGTCAAGACAATCTCTTCAATAAATGTGTTGGGAAAATTGAATAGATACATGCAAAAAAAATGAAATGAGAACACCGAATTATAGCATACACAAAAATAAAACTCAAAATAGATAAAAGACGTAAATGTAAAATATGAAAGCATAAAAGTCTTAGAAGAAACCATTGGCAGCAAAATCTCAGGTATCTCTGATAGCAACAGTTTTACCAACACATCTCCTAGGGCAAAGAAAATAAGAGGAAAATAAACAAATGGGACTATTTCAAAATAATAAGCTTCTGCACAGCAAAAGAAACCATCAGCAAAACAAAAAGAGGACCCACTTCAAGGGAAAACTTATTTGCCAATGATACATCTGATAAGGGGTTAATCTCCAAAATTTATAGAGAACTCATACAACTTAACAAAAGGAAGATAGTCCAATTAAAGATGGGCAAAGGACCCAAATAGACACTTCCCCAAAGTAGACATACAGAAGGCCAAGAGGTATATGAAAAAATGCTCCAAGTCACCAATCACGGGAGATGCAAATGAAAACAACAATGAGGTATCACCTCACACCTATCACAATGGCTATCATCAACAAATCAATAAAGGACAAGTGCTGGCGAGGCTATGGAGAAAAGGGAACCCTAGTGCTGTGGTCGGCAAACTGTGGCTCTCGAGCCACACGTGGCTCTTTGGCTCCTTGAGTGTGGCTCTTCCACAAAATACCACGGCCTGGGCAAGTCTATTTTGAGGAAGTGGCATTAGAAGAAGTTTAACTTTAAAAAAATTGGCTCTCAAAAGACATTTCAATCGTTGTACTGTTGATATTTGACTCTGTTGACTAATAAGTATGCCAGCCACTGCTCTAGTGGGGATGCAGACTGGGGTAGCCTCTGTGGAAAACAGTACGGAGTTTCCTCAAAAAATAAAAAAATGGAACTCCCATTTGAACCCAGTGAATCCACTTCTAAGAAATCAGAAACACCAATCAGAAAGGACATATGCACCCCTATAGTCATAGCAGCATAATTTACCATAGTTAAGATTTAGAAACAGCCTAAGTGCCCATCAGCAGATGAGTGGATTAAAAAACTGTTACATCTGCACAATGGAATACTGTGCAGCTATAAAAAATAAAGAACTCTTTTACCATTTGCAACAGCATGGATGGACCTGGAGAGCATTATGCTAAGTGAAATAAGCCAGTCAGGAAAAAATAAGTATCACATGATCTCACACGTGGAATCTAATGAACAACATAAACCAATGAACAAAAACAGATCGAGAGACTCCGAAGCATAGAACAGACTCTCAAACCTTAGAGGGAAGGCAGGGGAGGGAAAGTGGGTGCAAAGAGACCAACCAATGAACTTTTATGCATTTGTGCATAATCCATGGACACAGACACTAGGGTGGTGGAGGCTTGGGGTGGAGTCTGGGGAGGGCGGGGAGAGGTCAGTGAGTGGGGGGAAGGGGACATATGTAACACTTTCAACAATAAAGATTTTAAAAAAAGGAAAACTTGTTAAGGAAAAATAAATAAAGCTCATAATTTAAAAAAAAAAAAAAAAAAGGAGGGGAGGGAAGAGACATTTTTAATGACCAGAAAGCAACTTGTTAGTTAAAAATAGGATTGTTGCTACAAACTTAGCACAAGGATTGCGGCACACAATAATAGACATGCAATAACAGTCCACCTTTGTTTTCCACAAGAGGTCTTCCAATCAGCAACAGGACTGTTCACTGTGACACTCTCTCTGAATTCTCCCTCAACAACATCAACACTTTCTTCCGTGTGGAGCAGCCGTCTGCTAGCTCCCTCTCTGGACAAAAGGCTTCACTTCCCCTTGGCTCAGTAGCCGGCAGCCATGCAGTCAACGGCTGCACTAGATGGCTTGCCTTAGACCAGTGGTTCTCAACCGTCCTAATGCCCCGACCCTTTAACACAGTTATTGTAATGTAAATATCTGTGTTTTCCCGTGGTCTTAGGCTCTACTGCGGCAGGTTGAGAACCGCTAACAGGGTTGCCTAATTACATTACGATTCATAACAGTAGCAAAATTACAGTTATGAAGTAGCAACAAAAATAATTTACTTGTGGTTGGGGGTCACCACAACATGAGGAACTGTATTAAAGGGTCGAGGCATTAGGGAGGTTGAGAACCACCACATTAGAAGGTTCCTAAAATCCTTTGGCCAATTTGACAATGTAGGCTTGGGTAGAATTGTCGTCTTTTTATTATCTTGGTTTTTTCCAGAAGGGCTCAAATTTTGTTGAAACTCATATACTAAATCCCCCTCCCTGGCAAATTTTACTTATTATTGAAAAAAAAAAAAGTGTATTTCTTCCAACTTTCGGAATTCCCCACGATAGCTGGCTGCTTGATAGCACACACTGAGCCCATCCAGAGAGGCCATCTCCCAGGCACTGGGCACAGAAAGCCGAGCCTCATGGCGTGAAATCCAGGTACACGCCAGCATCTGCAACAGCCCACACAGAATCAGACCAGAACCCCGCTCGGCTGCCCCCAGAGGGAGCCGTGGCAAGGTGTGGGCCTGCTTTCACCTTCTGGAGCTACATGCCTTCCCAGCTGCATCTACTTTTACTCGGAGCAGGCTCACAGGAGTCGCTGCAGCCTTGCAAATGAGGGAAACAGAGTCACTTACTTGAATGGGTGGAGATGGCTCTTCAGTTTCTCTTGCTTTTTCACACCTTTTTCTTTATTGTAGTAGCTACAGGTAAGAAAATGAAAAAGTGAGTCTTCATCCGCATGCATTTGTTACACAGCTTATTTTATAAAAAGCAAGCAAATAGGCAGTTACTTTGTTGTAACTATCTCAGCTTAGTGGGACTTTAAAATGTGTTTCTCTCCCCCACCCCCTTAACTGTCTATTTAGGTTTACAACATTTAATTCGACTGAGATATTTTAGGTCACTATAAATATGTGATAATTCATTTTATTAGGCTTTCTGTTGATATAAGCGAGGAGCAGGCCAAATGCTAAGCAGGCTGTGCAAAAAATGAGTTTGCAAAGGAGACCAAGGGGAGGGCCCAGGCTCACCTCTGTTTACTGCAGACACACTCCTCGGGCTTCCTCCTCTTCAAGTGCCCTCTCACTTCTCTCAGGTTCTTAATTTTATCTTGCAAAGCTTCGATCTGGGAAACAGGCAATTCAACAATTACGTCTGCAGGATTGTCTGTGCCAACTACCTTCCTTCTCACCTTATTGCTGTGTTCCATAATCGTAGCCATTCATCCAAGATGATAATTAATTTGGGGACAAACTGAGCATAGAATCTCCTTCCCTCTATATTCCAGCGGATGTCTTATCATAAACACAGACAGATGCCTCTTTTATAACCCAATTGTTTTATCATAGAAATTTCAAAAGGTCATTGAATTGGTTCCCATTCTCTCCTCGCATTCTTGTTGTTTAGGTCAGGACTATCACTGTCTCACTGGAGAACGAGAAACACCTTGCTGTTCTATTTTCCACATAATTATAAACAGACTAGAGGCACGGTGCATAAAAATCATGCACGGAGGCTGGGGGAGTCCCTCAGCCCGGCCTGCACCCTCTCTAGTTCAGGACATCTTGAACATCCCTCTCACAATCCAGGACCACTGGCTCCTAACCGCTCACTTGCCTGCCTGCCTGTCTGATTACCCCTAACCACCCTCCCCTACCGGCCTGATCACTCCTAACCACTCTCCCCTGCCAGCCTGATTGCCCTGACTGCCCTCCCCTGCTGACCTGATCACCCCTAACCGCCCTCCCCTGCTGACCTGATCACCCCTAACCGCCCTCCCCTGCTGACCTGATCACCCCTAACCGCCCTCCCCTGCTGACCTGATCACCCCTAACCGCCCTCCCCTGCTGACCTGATCACCCCTAACCGCCCTCCCCTGCTGACCTGATCACCCCTAACCGCCCTCCCCTGCTGACCTGATCACCCCTAACCGCCCTCCCCTGCTGACCTGATCACCCCTAACCGCCCTCCCCTGCTGACCTGATCACCCCTAACCGCCCTCTCCTGCTGACCTGATCACCCCAACTGCCTCTACCTTGGCCCCTGCCATCGTGGCTTTATCTGGAAGAAGAACCAGAAGACTGGAAGATGTCCATCAACCTGGTCTAATTAGCATATTACCCTTCTATTAGTCTAGACGATGCGCACACACACAGTATGTGCCCCCGGTAGGGCTTCCAATCTCACAGCTCACCTCTTTGTCAATGTATGCCTTGTGGTCCTTCCACGCTCTGGCTGACTGATAGAGTTCTCTCTCACAATGGATGGTATCATTTGGAAGAATAAAGCACCTGCCAAAACAAACAAGAAGCATTAGAAACAGGTTTATATTCTAATACCAAGAAAAGCATTAGAAATAGCCAAGGGAACTTAGCTGTCCTCCAACCCCTTCACTGGGAACCCAGCTATAGTTTGCAGCAGGGTAAGTGGGCGTGGTTCCGGCTACTGGTGTGGGCAGAAGATGCTGAGCGATCACCACTCAGACCACCTTCCAAGGCAGCTCTCCATGTTCCGTCCCCATAAAAAGATACACTCAGCCTTTGAAAGCCCCATCGAATATTGCAGCAAAAAGAGGCTTCCACAGCTATCACAGAAATGACTCGCTTGTCCAAATGCAGTGAGCAGGAGCTTATTCATCGCATTCACGTCGTTACAAAGAGCCTGCCTGAAGTGCCCCATTACTCTGAAGCAAAGCAGCAGCCCCAGGGAGAGAGAGCTGGTGGGATATGAGGTCGACACATAACAAATACTGTCTCAATCTCTAAGCATACAACTACGGCCACAGACACCTGGGGACCAGTCCCAGAGATAAACATCTCGGCAGGGCTCGCTCAGCATCTTTTGCACACCTCCCACTGGGGATGTACCCACAACCAAGGCACATGCCCTTGGCTGGAATCGAACCCGGGACCTTTCAGTCCGCAGGCCGATGCTCCTCTTAAAGGGACCAGATGGTGGTAGTAGGCGGGGATGACTTTGAACTCAACCCTTTGACCACACGAAGCCCCTCCCTACTTGTGGGTCACTCGGACGGTGGAGGGCAGGGCCACGGCATTGCCGCTGGTGGCCAGCATGGCGTCCCCGTCGCCGCCGTTGGCAGCTTGGCGGCCTCCTGGCCCCTGGTGGCCTTCGTCGTGACGCTTGGCAATGCTTCTTGGCTGCAACACGTGCAGCTCCTCTTCCTCCAAGTTTATGTCGTACACTTCGCCCTCAAATTCCACCGACAAGGACCGTGTCTGCCGGGTGTGCACAAACCTGGGCTTGTACTCTGGAAATAAGGGAAGATACGTTAGTATCATGTCCAGATGTAACTGAGGGGATAAGAAAATGATCACGTGGCTCGATGAGCATTTTGGAAAGGGGCACGCAGTACACAGAGGGGCACCGTGGTGGTGTGATGGCCACCATGCTTCTCTGGCCTTGGGCCCTTCCTCCCCAGGGAGGGGGTGGGTCTGAGTGACTGCTAAGGCTCTTCCCACTTAAGGGCAGGCTGTGAACATGTACTATGAGTTTTCAACATGAACTGCAAAGGCCGTGTGAATAAAATTACAGCCCCCATTCCGGTATTAATGATGGTAACTCATTTTTTTGAGCTTTTTGCTATGTATTACTCCTCTGGTACTTACCTCTAATCTTAAAAAGACAGATGTTATGATAAGTCTTTCCATTAAAAAATATCAGATGATCCAAACAGGCTGACGAATTTGGTGTCCTTATGTTATGGATGAGAGAACAGGAGCTTTGAATGTTATGCACATTTTGCGAGGTGATGCAGCCAATAGGTTCAGAGTCTAAGTAACTCAGATTCTAAAAACCAAAGAGTCTTCCTACTCCATTGAGATGCTTTTGCAGAATGGCAAATGCTCTAGACTCTGCCTTTTTTTTTTTTTTTTTAAGCAATTAAGGCAGAAAAACTAAAGTGGGCACATGCTTCCATCAGCCAACTGACTCTTCATTCCTGTCAAATGGAGGGCCAGCCCGACCTCTGGTCACGACAGACCCCTGTGGAGGCTCAGTGTGCTAGGTAAGAGCTTTAATGTTCAAACATTGGTCCCTGCTTACCAGGTGCACCTTGTCTCTGTGGAGCTTGCTCATATGACCTACCCCCAACCCCCCGCCTTCCTAGAACAGGAAAGAGGGGAGCCTATTGGCTGCGGAATCAGGGTCATCTCTCCCTCTGCAGAATCCTGCTCTGAGGGCAGTTTCCAGATGAAGAAACACCCCCTGCTTTCCAATAGTAAGATCCACACAGCTTGAAAGAGCGCCCCAGACTTCCTTAGTTTGTGCTCAGGATTGAAAGACCAATGCGCTTTAGGAACAGTGCTTGGGAGCCACATCCAACTTCCTGGGAGAGAAAGAGCTGCCTCTACTTCTCAGCTGGACATGATCATCAGTTTCAGTGAAGGGAGCGCCTCAGGGGTCCTTATGCCTTGTGGGTTTCACATCTGATATCTTCACATGCATTTTTAAGCCTAGCATTTCCTCTCAGGGAGGAAAGACTCTCCCAGATTAACGGTTCTTAGACTTCCATTTTTGTTGGAAGTTAGGAGCATCCCGAAAAATGTGCATGTACACATAGAATATATATATATATATATATATATATATTTAAATATGGAACGCTTCACGAATTTGCGTGTCATCCTTGCGCAGGGGCCATGCTAATCTTCTCTGTATCGTTCCAATTTTAGTATATGTGCTGCCGAAGTGAGCACCACATAGAATATATTTAAAATTTTGGATGGTAGGGGGATTCTGGTCCTCTGAAGTCCATCGGTGGAACCCAGGATATAAAATCCTGTTTTAAGGGATTCCACTGTCTTACTGATTTGATTTCCTAATTTCGGACTCAGAATTGAATTTCTACATATCTTGGTTATTTCCAAACCAGTATAGAAAGGACGGACCACAGAAACGAGTTACTGCTCATATTACGCCACTAGGTGGCGCTAGACTCCCATTCTTTTATGGAAGGTAGGCGACTGAGTTTTCCTATCTATAAATTAGTAAAGACCACCTCATAGCTGCCTGCTAAGACTTTTTATAAAGAAGATACTAGGCAATGATTTTCACACTTAGTTCAACTAGTTTGACTCTGCCAGCCAAAAAGAAGAATTTTTAAAAAATTGTACTAAAATAGATACGCCTTTAAAAATAGTATTTATGCTTTTCCTACTAAAGGCACAAACCCTGAAACTTTGGATTCATTTTTTTTCTTTGTCTTTCTTTTCTTTTCCTTTTTAAGCGATTAAGGAGAAAACATCAGGACATTAGCATCAACCTAAAATAAAACTTACCCGGACTCCACACACACCCTGGGCCCCTTGATAGTCTGCGTGTTGTGCCTGCTGCTTTTACTGGATACATTTGCGTTCTATGCTTGAGTGTTTACAATGCAAAAACTCAAGTTATCTTAGCTTTCGTTATTTTAACCAGGGCGATGATTGGCTTTGGGCCCTAACACTATGCATGGTTAATATCGTAACTGTAGCCAGAGAGGGCCTTTCCTCTCTGGCAGGTAGCGGCTGGGAGGTGGCCCGCGGGGGCTGGGCCTGGGGCTTACTTGCGGCTCCCTGGCTCCTCAGGAACTGCCGCTGGCTCTTCCTCTGGCTCCGGGCGCGGTAGGCCGCCTCCCCGCAGTGGCACTCCTGCTCCTTGTCCTGGAAGCCGCTCGGGTAGAGGTTGCGGGTGCTCTGCCGAGCGGCCAGCAGGTCCCCAGGGCCCTTGCACTTGTGGATGCGCAGCTTGCCTGCCGTGTCCTCGATGCACTGCCACTTCTGCAAAAACCAGCCACAGGTGCTCTGGGTTAGGCAGCCGCCAGGGGGGGCGCAGCAGCAGGCAACCCCCTGGGCGTGGGGGAAGGCGAGCTGCTAAGCGGCCCTGCGTTGCCCCCAGGTCTCGCTCATGGGAGCAAATGCAGCGACCACCAAACCCCTGGAAATGAGAACTGCCTCGGGGACACCAGAGCCAAGCGCGGACACACACATCCTGCCCATCCAGACTAGACGGGGTCCTGAATGAGGCGCGGGAAGGCCCTTCCCCCAGCGAGCCCAGGGCACAGCTGCCAGGGCTGTCTGCCCTGGCCCCCCTATCCTCCTCCGGGAAAACCAATGTGGCTGCTTTGTTCTCTGCCCCTGAAGCCCAGGGCCAGCCAACTTGCAGGCAGCGCGGCCTTGGGGTTCCCCTGCGCCCGCCTTTCTCATCCTCTTATCCTGCCCACACCTGGCAGTGAGCTGCTCTTAAAGGGACACTGGCCGCCTACCCAAGAGGCAGGTGCGGGCAGAGAGCAGGCGCTGGGTTTTCTAGTTTGAATTTTGGTTGGAGCAAGACTGGTGCATGGGAAATAAAGTCAATAACATTGTAACAACGACCAGTATGCCCGGCGCCCGGTGGGCACCAGGAATACTGGGGTATGTGATTGTGGAATCACTATGCTGTACACCTGAAACAAATACAAGATAATGGTGGATGCAAACTGTAGAAAACTTAAGAAATCTACCCAACAGCGAGAGAGAGAGAGAGAGAGAGAGAGAGAGAGAGAGAGAGAGAGAGAGAGAGAGAGAGAAAGAAGAAGAAGAAGAAAGGAAGGAAGGAAGGAAGGAAGGAAGGAAGGAAGGAAGGAAGGAAGGAAGGAAGGAAGGAAGACAAGACAAGACTGTTGCAGATATTGCTGGCTTAGTAATTTTGGAGAAATACGACACAGCAGTGGGTCTCAGTGTTCCCTCCTCTTCCAGCCCCCCACCCAGCTCCCCATTTCTTGAGAATCACTCTGGTTGAAATAATAGTGCTTCCCCTGAGAGTCATTTCATAGGTCCCTCCATATCCGAAAGACCTAATTTCCATCCTCTTACTTTTTACTTCCTCCCCCCCCTTCTTCCTCCTAAAATGGTAGCTGGGGAAGCAGAAAGAATACAGGCTTTAATTTTAAGCTGACCACGGTTGTTACAAAACGCTATCTGGTAGTGTTATCAAGCTCCTTGTCTTTTTCCTCTTCCATATATGACTATCACATGTGTGTAATTGTACCGAGATTTCCCTTCAACTGGACACATTTCATGTCGCCAAAGCCAGGATGATTGTAAAATTATGTGTTTGTGTGCCAGCTAGATATTTCCACACACATATGAAAACAAATACAACTTTATTAAATAAAGGATGATCTTTCATGCACCACGTACGATAATCTCAGGTAGCCCCTTATACCTGTACCATAATTAGGGTAACTTTGCGATTTCAGAGTGTCCTAAGGCAAGGTAAAGTTTGGTTAAGGGCCCCACATGGCTTGGCCAGCAGACAAATGACACTCACTCGTGTCCAAAACGGTATGAACCATTTCACAAACCAGTCACGGTTTGTTTTCTCTTACTGGAGTCATCTGCCTTCAATAAGCGTCAAACTGCCTCAGCTGCCTTTGAGTTTCTACGGTCTTGTTCTCACATCCCAGATCCAGAAGACTGGCTCCGTGATTTTGCCCGAGCCCCCATGAACTCCATGGTGCTATGGACTATGACTGCTTCAAGCCACATCCTTCAGGCCACATCAGCCACCACCTTCTCTGTGGCTTGGACAGAAAGTCTGGGACAATCAACGTCTCCATTCTGAGAGGCAGGAGCTCAAGAGACAAGGAACTCACCTCCTATTTACAAAGCCATGAAAAGGCTACGTTTGCAAGACTAGTCTACAGATGAGCCAAATAGAGATGATTTAGCTGAAAACCAACAGGCAAAACCCCCAAAATGTGAAGTCAGTTTGACGAGGCCAGTGGTCGGCAAACTGATTAGTCAACAGAGCCTAATATCAACAGTACAACGATTGAAATTTCTTTTGAGAGCCGAATTTTTTAAACTTAAACTTCTTCTAACGCCACTTCTTCAAAACAGACTCGCCCGGGCCATGGTATTTTGTGGAAGAGCCACACTCAAGGGGCCAAAGAGGGACATGTGGCTCTCGAGCCGCAGTTTGCCGACCACAGGACTAGGTACCGAGTTATGTCAGGTCAATGGATCTCACACTTGGCTTTACAGTGGGATATTCAAAAGCTTCCCTGGTGATTTTAATGTCCTCGGCCTTTGGATTCACAGCATCTGGTTACTGGACCCAACAAGCACAGGGCACAGCTGCCAGAGCTGTTGAGAACTGCTGCTGTAAAGCCTAAGACTATCGGAAAACACAGATATTTACATTACGATTCATTAACAGTAGCAAAATTACAGAATTACAGCAACGAAAATAATTTTATGGTTGGGGTCACCACAACATGAAGAGCTGTATGAAAGGGCCGCGGCGTTAGGAAGGTTGAGAACCACTGCTCTAGGTGGAAGTAGCTCGGTTGCATGAGGGTTTGAGAGGGTGCACGTATTCTTGGGTGTGGGTGTGTGAAATGTGTCTAGAAATGCAGCAGGTGAGAGAGTGACGCCAGTTGAACAGGTGAACGCTGCCAGCTCATCTTCATGGCAAAGCTAAGAGCCTGTTCTCCTACTCTCTCTCCACAGGCAGTTGATGAGTGGCAGTTCTCCTACTCTCCCTCCGCTCTTAGCTGGAAACAGCGTGTGCCCTCCCACAGTCCTGCCGTCTCAGGTGCAGACCAGTGATATGCAGGCTGACTCTGCAGCGCTCCCAGATACGCCCAGTTAGCTCAAGGAGGCACCAGGAAACATTCTCGGGAACGCAGATACAACCCCATGAAGAAGTAATTGGGCCCTGGCTGGTGTGGCTCCACTGGATGGATGCCATTCCCTGCACCGAAGGAGTGCTGGTTTGATTCCTGGTCAGGGCATGTGCCTGGGTTTCAGCTTCCATCCTTGGAAGGGGGTTTGGGGAAGCAGCTGATCTCTGTTTTGCTTTCACATTGATGCTTCTCTCCTCTCTCTCTCTCTCTCTCTCTCTCTCTCTCTCTCTCTCTCTCTCTCTCTCTCTCCTTCCCTCCCTCTCCCTTCCTTTCTCTTTAAAAGTCAATAAAAAAAAATCTTTAAAATAATTATATGCCATGTAGAATTCTTGCTGGTGAAAAATGTCATAAAAATAAATGCTAACTTTTTAGAGCTCCATACAGTTTGGGAATCAATGGTGCTTGGTGCCTGTCTATATCTGTCTTGAATCCAAGTGGTTTAAGATGTATCCATCCACCTGGATAATCTCTACCTCAGTTTCAAAACTGACCGTGGACTGCTTAATGTGTATAAAAGCCAAAGAAGTGGTCGGGGACTCACAATCCAAGCCAAGCAGAAGCTTACAAAGTGCTCTACTTTCTATCAGACAGAAAAATATATGGCTAGCTTGATTTTTAAATATATATATATTTTTATTGATTTCAGAGAGGAAGTGAGAGGGAGAGACAAATAGAAACATCAATGATGAGAGAGAATTATTGAGTGGCTTCCTCTTGTATGCCCCACACTAGGGATTGAACCCACAACCCGGGCATGGGTCCCAACCTGGAATCACACCGTGACCTCCTGGTTCATAGGTTGACACTCATCGACTGAGCCACGCTATCAAGGCGTGGCTAATGTGATTCTTGAAAAATAACGGCCTTATGTTTCTTGTGGTTCCAGTTCATATCAACTTTAGCACAAATACTAATTTGAAAACATACAACTATGGTGAAAACCTTCCTTTTAAATAACCACAATACATTAAACAAACAAACAAACAAGCAAAACCTTGGCGTTTTTTTTTTTGGCTTGGAAGAGCTGAGAGAACAAGTAGATGCCTGTAGAACACAAAAGCACAGGCAGAATCTTCATGGCTTAGCCTATTTGGAATACAACCTGCATTTTCCATTAGCCAAGTTCCTGCTAACTTCCTATGGGACAGAGATGAAAGGAACAGCTGTTTCCTTCCTGAAGAGCTGAATTTAAACGCACCTGAGGTCTGGCTCTGTGTCCTTGGCATTGATAAGGTATATGCAAATTCAAATATACATCATATATGTATAAACATGCACACCCACATATACCCATACACTACCTACATACATATACTTACCCACATTCTTTTTTTTTTTTTTTTTAAATATTGGGGTTTCGGCTATGTTTTCTTTCTTTCTTTATTTTATTTTATTTTATTTTATTTTTTAACATTTTTATATATTTTATTAATTTTTTACAGAGAGGAAGGGAGAGAGATAGAGAGTTAGAAACATCATGAGAGAGAAACATCGATCAGCTGCCTCCGGGTTTTCCCCGCAACCAAGATACATGCCCTTGGCCAGAATCGAACCTGGGACCTTTCAGTCGGCAGGCCAATGCTCTATCCACTGAGCCAAACCGGTTTTGGCGCTACCCACATTCTTGTAAAAAATAAGAGCCTTGGACAAAGATGCCCATTATTTTCCATACCATGTACCCTTTGCACAAATCTTAGACCTCATTAGGTAATTAGCTAAAGCAAGCATGTCAAACTCGTGGCCCGAGGGCTGTATGCATCATTTATTTGACTCATGTTAGCCTTTGAGTTTGACATGCTTGAACTAAAGGCTTTGAAAATCTCCTTAGTGGGATGGCAAGCTTACTAGGAATTGTAATGAAATGTAATCGCCACCCATTTGTCACAATCATTTTAGTGTTCAATATCATGACAATTTTTATGGCTGAGCAATAAAACCTTGAAATAGCTGCAGCTAAAGCGGTCATCTTACTTAGTGCGGTTATTGAGGACAGCGAAGAAAGATTTTTTTTTAGAAAGAATTGCTCCGGAATTCATGCCGCATGCCATTCAAATGGTGAAGATAATGAACCGATTTTGCATGGCAGAAGTTTCAGCAATCAGATGGAGG